CTGAAAATTACCCAGTTAGTAATATAACAATCATTTTCTTACGCATTATAATAAAAAAATCGCTTTCATAACTAACTTCTAACACCAGTAGGGTTAGCACGATACAGCGCGACTTGCGCGAGAGCGACATAAAGCGCGAGATCTCTGTGCGAGAATAGCAGTATCTCGCGTTTGTCGCTCTCGCTCAAGTCGTGCCCTGTCGTGCTAGCCCTACTGATTTTTGATTATAATGCGTAAGAAAATGATTATTATATTACTAATTAAGAGACAGAGAAGTTTCTAGAATTACGTTATCGAACATACATATAATAAACAGCAAAATTAATACACGACCGAATAAGTATACTGTTTTAAGTGTTATATAAACTATCAAAGAACATGTGGCAATAATGGAATCACCACATTTATAGACGCGGAAACGCATTTCGACCGTCAGAAAACCTTTATATCCATATAATAAGTGCATGCTTTTCCGCTCTTATTAGGGACATGGACATCTGACCGGCGCGTAATGCGATTCCATGTCGAAAAGTGTGGTGACTCTCTAACACCAGTCAAATAAAGGTTAGCACTTGCATTAAACGGTGCAATTTAAATTATACGCTAATACATATTATAAACCTCACCTGTTCCCTCCCAAAAACTTAGGGAAGTGTCTCCTTGGTAAAAAGGTCGTGAATGCGGCCATGAACACCCAAAGTATTGCCAGTTCATCCAGAAGCTGACCTAATATGTGCGATAAAAAGGACAGTATTAAACCAGAATCAAAAATTGATAATTACCACATCAATTAGAATACGTACTTTTATTACGGGAATGTAGCAACATTTGATTAATTTTCAACCCAAATATTGGTGACGTCGTGTATTTCTACAATATAATGACTATATAATGCTAACAAACAGCACTTATATATTCATATAAAAGCTAACAGGTTTAGTTAAATATATATACAAAAGAGCAACAATACAGAGCCCTGTGCAAAAGAATTATTACAAGTGTCCTTAGTATAACTACCCCGAATGTGTGAAATCTTACCAACAAGACTCAAAGTAGCATGGAAGTAAGCAGAGCTGAGTCCAACTACCATCATAAGTACCCATAAAACGTTAATTGCGGGGTTAATAACCCGCGCGTATTCTTGGAAAAGGTGGATCAGCACCGGCGGGAATAGGAAGAACAGTACGTTGCTAACCTGGCCACAAAAAAAGTAAAAATAAATTCAGAATGTCGTTCGTATTACGTACGCTTCAACAAACAAATTGTATTTCGCAATCCAAATACATAATAATTTTTTACGCATAAAAATTTTGCATTTGGGCACAAAAAAGCTTGCTGTTCACACAAAAGAAATTGAAAAACTATAAGTATTTACTTAGATTTTTTTTGGAAGTATAAAAATACTTACGGTGTTAACAAATTCTGCAATAACTGGTGAAATAGAGTAATTCGATTCGCACCAATCCACTGGGGAACTTCCGCGTTCTAGGTGAGACCACATTGCAATTTTTCAAATCCTTTGTTTGTTTACAAGCCACGCAGTCAAATTAATCTGAATTTTATTAACGAAAAGTTTGTACAACTAACAATTTCATTAATTGCAGAGACGAAGTGGCTGTTCAAATATGCACTCAATGCTTTTATTTTAATTCAAAAACCAGAAAAGCATCGAGAGAAAAAAAAGGTAGTATTTGGATTAATCAGAAAACAAAACACAACCATGCAATAGCAATTTATCATTTGATTTGACGTCTTGTATGACTTGACACTTTATCAGCTCCTATGAAACAAACAGTCTCAGCTGACACTGACGTTTAACAAATGCGAGTCAACCATTCGCTAATTGATATACTAAAAGAAAAAAAGAGAGTTATCTTCATGCTACTATTACCATGTATCTCTTTCCAACGTAGGCTACTTAGGTTTTTATCGTCACAAATAAGTATTTATTTATTGGCGCGAAAATTCAAAACTGTAGTTGTAAGTATGTGGCGCTCTATAAACTAAATCTATGACAGCGCTGCCGTTCCTTTTCAACTTAGCATTTAAATTCTGTATAAAAAAGTAGCAACTTTTATAACATATTTATAAATAAATAATGAGTCTACGAGCATAGGACTTCTAAAGCACGTATTGAATTTACTACTCATATGGAACAACCAATATAATATAAGTATTTTAAATAGGAACTGTACTAAAAGCAACTACCACTTCTGTGCTATTTTATTATTATTATTTTATACTATATATAGCTCGATTACCACTGGCTGACTAATCCAGTCATTTAGATGATTGTTCTTCCAGAAGGAGTCGCGGTGGGTGAAAATAATGTACAGGAGTCGTGGTCGGATGGCTCCAGTGAGTACCAGAAAAATCCGAAATCTTCGTAAAGTGGACTGCATCAGGTGGGACCCCGGCAGCGCAACCAAAGTATAACACCTACCGGCAGGGTCGTCAAACTAAAATGGCCGCCACACTGGGCAGTTTCTACTGGAAGTGAAAAAAAATCAAAATTCGAATAAACAAGATGGCCACCATACAAATTTCAGAGCCCTATAGCTCGGTGAGTATTGGAGATGGGCGGGGGATCCTCGACCAAATGTCATAGAGGGCGGTGGGAGTCAACTGCCGGTGAAAAAATTTTTTCAAGATGGCCTACTCAAAATTGGGACCCAAAATAAAAGTGCTCCTATCCGGCTGAAATTTGGCACGCGGCCGTGTATGAGAGTCCACAATAGGAAACTGGGGTCAAAATTTTGATGTTGACATTTTCCAAGATGGTCGGCATACATGTAAATTTCTGCCCTTTGGTGTCATTTTTTCTCCCAGAAGGAGGGCGGAAGGGTAAAAATGATATAGGTGAATTGTGGTCGCACGGGTTTAGTGAGTATCAGACGGTACAGTAATCTTCGGAAAGTGAAGCACTTTAAATTATGTGATGTGATAATAGCACTTATAAATTATGTTCAAACTAATGTCCGAGTGGGCGATGGGAGCCAATCGGCTGTGAAATTTATTTTTTCAAAATGGCCAATTCAAGATGGCGGCCAGAAAAAACATCAATCGTGCTGAAATGTGGCAATTGGTCGTGTATAAAGCCCCATAATACGAAATTGTGTTTGTGGTTCTAGATTCCGCCATTTTCCAATATGGCCGCCGTACATTTTCCGCCGTCCAACACCATTGCTCGCCGAGAACCAACCGACGAAGTCTTTCCTACATTTAAAGTCACATGCCTCACATATAGCTCTCTCGGGCCGCTTTAGCGTCCCAGCGCGACATCCAACATTTAAGTCGGTTTGGTCTCCGGTATATACGGCCCGGCCAAAGCTTCAAAGATGAGTATATGGCTTCAAAACAAAAATTGTCAAGGACCCTGGCCAGGTTCTATCGAGAACAAAAATGTTACAATATGGAGAATCATGGCCTCCATACAACATTCAGTTTGCTGAATCTCTGCAACTATCGATGATGTACGGGTTGTGTCTTCTGAAGTATTTTAGGACACTAATTTACGCAATCACACCAACTACCTGCTCTCTCTCTCTCTCTCTCTCTCTCTCCCAAACAAAGAAAATTATCATTTGAAATATTAAGTTCAACTCCCAATTTGCCACCAGATACAAAGAAAGCGCTCGCGAGCCGCTTTAGCGCGCGCCATCTAGTTATACATATATATAAAGCTACAAATCCTGACTCACTTAGAAAAATAGAACGCATACTTCCCGATATGGTGGAAAAAAGATATTTATACCGTTATACGCGGATAGGTTCCAAGGTAAAGAATCAAATATGAGAAGACCTGGATGTGGAAAATGTAAACGAGTGATCAACGGCCTGCATAAACTATAATACATGGAGGAGATTTTTGTGCACTTTTATGAGATACACTTTGGTCAATTTCTGCAGAAAGTAAAAAATGTTCGAAATTCAAATAAACAAGATGGCCGCCATACAAATTTCTATTAGAGATAGGTAGGAGGTGCTGGAAGGAATGTCATAGAGTGGTCAACTGACTGTGTAACAAAAAATTCAAGATGGCAAATACAAAATGGCGGCCGAAGAAAAACTTGCTTCGATGTGGCTAAAAATTGGCATGCGGCGGTCTTTAGGAGTCTTTAATCATAATTTGGGATCAAAAGTTTTTTCGCCATTTTTTAATATGGCTGCCATATAAGTGTTTTTTTCGTTAAAAATAGCTGCCAAAAGAGACTCCTTCTGTTTCAGCTGAAAATTAGCATGTGGAGGCCTCTAGAAGTGCCAAATAATAATTTGTGCTCGAAATTGGTTTTTCGCCATTTTCAAATATGGCCGCCATACAATCGTTTGTTGGCAGTAGAAAAAAAATTGTTCTGATCTCTTCCAAAATGGTCATGTGGGAGTCTCTAGGAGTGCTTGATAATAATTTGTGATCATCATTAATTTATCGCCATTTTTCTTTTTTTTTTATTTATTTTGGTACAAACAGTCATTACAATATGAATTAATACAGAAATTTGAACTATACTACAGACAACGAGTATTACACTTAAATATTAATAACATGTACTAAAAGGACTTAAATATATAAGTAGAATACAAAATAAACGCGTTTTCGAACCAAAAGCAAATGGTTAACCATATGGGTGCTTAGACAAATTACTACTTAGAACTAGAAAAAATTAAAACAAAACTAATTAACCGGGATGTAAACCGGCTTCAGGTTTCAAAGACAGTAAATAATTTGTTGTGGATGAACATATCCGTGTCACAAAATGTATTATTGACTTGAGTGAGACTTGAGACTTGAGTGATTTGCTGGATGATCTGCCACTCAACTTGATCAGGGACATGTGGTTCCAACATGATGGCTGCCCTGCCCATTTCAGGAGAAGTGTCAGAGACTGGCTGGACACAAATTATCCAAACAAATGGATAGGACGAGGTGGGCCGTTGCCATGGCCAGCAAGAAGTCCGGACCTAACCCCCATGGATTTTCATGTGTGGGGGCGCATGAAAACTCTTGTCTACAGCGAGTCAAATCCAGTTTCGTCTGTGGAAGAGTTAAAAGAAAGGATTGTGGATGCAGCAAATCAAATGAGGACAACGTTGACCACTGGAGTAGTGAAGACTGGTCTCCGTAGAAGAATGCGACAATGTATTAGAAGCAGAGGCGGCCATGTTGAACATGAACTGTAGAATAACAAAAAGTTGTGTGAAAACCTGATTTAATAAATACTTTGCATGCTTACCTATTGTTTTGTTATACTTTTTAGGGCTAAGTATTAATTTTCTCCTCCACTATCGCCTATGAAACTAAGTTTTTTCAATGCATTTAAATAAAACCCTAGATTGTTATACCTTGTTAGATAGCTGATGAAACGTAGATATTTTATAACTTATCTGCCGATCAACTGCCATAATATTTTTTTTAGATATCCCTTAGAGAAAAATAAACTTTCTATTTTTTTTTTAATTTCTTAACTTTCTCTTTTCTACTACGGCGTATTGAATTAACTTATTCACTATTTTAATGATTGAGGTCCTAAAGCATCTTATCACATATGTAAAAATGCAATAATTATAATAATAAGACACACAAAATAAACAAAATTAAATTTAGTAGCCTAAAAATCGGCAATTTTGAATAAAAAAAATAAAAGTCAAATATCTGGAAAAGGGTTAAGTTTAGGGTAGGGTGTTTCATAGTAAAATAAGTCAGAAATGATGAGTACTCCACGCCCTTAAAGGATCTAGCACGACTTTTCCTGTAACCCTGTATAAAGATAACGAACGATGAAAATAACTGTTTCTCGTATAATTCTTACGGAGTCGTGATGGTATGAAAATTTTTATTTTACGTTGGGGGCGTGCTGGTAAACGAGCTCTATTTATTTAATTAAGCTGCGATAACAGATTCGGTGAATCAACCATAATGTTAAGTATTTTGTAGAGAAAATCTATGTCAGATTTCTTACGGCGATTTTGTAAAGTCAGTAATTTATTAGGCCTAAGAGAGTATTCGTACGGTTCAATTAGACAATTAGTACGAAAATTAAGAATCCTGATGAATTTCCGTTGGACTCTTTCTATCGATCGATATTACATTTGTACAATGGATTCCAAACCACGCTTCCAAAATCGAGAATGAATCTAACGAATTAATAATATAAAATTTTTAATGTTATGACTTGTTTAAATGGTTTGGTAATGCGATTAATAAAGCCCAGGCTTCTAAAGGCTCGACTGAGTATTGTATCAATGTGCGAGTTGAAAGATAGTTGATCATCCGTGACAATACCCAAATCTCGAATGGTTCTTACTCGTTTCAAAATAAAATGCTCAAGGGTATAAGTATAATATATTGGACATTTCTTGCGGGTATAAGTGATGATGTTACATTTGTCTATATTTAAGAAAACTTGATTTATGGTACAATACTCCGAGAGAGTTGCGATGTCCGACTGTAGCAACTCACAGTCGCTAGGAGAGACTACTATTCTATATAATTTGGTGTCATCTGCGTAAAGCAGATGATTTGACAGGTGCAAAGAGTCTCCTAAAACGTTGATATATAAGGAAAACAGTAGCGGACCTAAATGGGAACCCTGCGGGACACCCGAAGGAATCGGCAGGAATTTAGAACAGTAACCTCTCAAACAAACCGCCTGACTTCGGTTGCCTATGTACGACTGGACCCATCTAAGCAAACTGCCATGTACACCGATCTTGTTAAGCATTTTTATGAGCAAATCGTGATTAGTTTTGTCAAATGCTTTGGAAAAGTCGGTGTACACGACGTCTACCTGTAAGTTATTATCCATAGAGCACAATGAGCACAATAAATAATTAGTGAATTGATTCACGTTTGATTCGACACCACGTGACCTCATAAACCCGTGCTGGTGTTCCAAGATAAAATTTTGAACAGAATGGAACAATTGCATAGTTACAATCTTTTCGAAAATCTTGCCAAGAATGCACAGTTTACAAATAGGTCGATACTTGGTGATTTGATCTTTTTGATTATTTTTAGGTATTGGGGTTATGAGAGCCCTTTTCCAGATAGAAGGAAACACTCCCGTACTCATAGATTGTTTAAAGATACTTGTGACGGGTTTAAGTAAATCTGCGGAATATTTGGAAATTATAATTGGGTGAATACCATCTGGTCCGGCGCCTTTGTTAATATTGACGCATTTGAGCTCCTTCAAGATAATGCTATTATTTAGTTCTATCGAGTTGATAGCCACTGTAGTACTAGAATAGTTAAAGTCAGGGAAGTACTTTTGTTGTGAGGATGACGATACAAATACAGATTGGAAATATTCGTTAAATGCATCGCAAATTGCGCTACCTTCTGACAGATTTATTTGAAATTCCAGTCAAAATTTATTTTTCGCTATTTTTCAATATGGCTGTCGTTTTTTCAATATGAAGTCGAAGTTCTACTCCTTTATAATCGAACTTTACCGGTCAATAGGCTAAGCATCATTGGAAGCTGAGCAAACTGTTTTAGGCTCTATTCTATAGATTTAGTATATTTGCCTTAGTTTTTAATCGACTTCAAAAAAAGGAGGAGGTTCTCAATTCGTCTGTATATGTTTTTTGTATATTACGCGATAACTCCGTTAAAATATTTGTGCTCCGATTTTCATGATTCTTTTTTGTTGGAAAGAGGGTACCTCCATAGTGGTCCCATTTAATTTTAAAGAAAATCATCATGCATGAAGATTCTTTTTTATAAATAGCGCCTAAATCTTGTTATAAGGAGCAATTATTTTAATGGTTGATTTTGCTATTCTCTAATTCAAGGCGTTTTTCTCTCTCAATATACTTTGAGTAGTGAGAACCGATTTTTATTATCTCCTATGTTAAGTTCCGTATAGTGGCGAA